CTGAGACACGGACCAATGGCGAACAGAGGTCACAGCGAGAAGTGTACGGACAGTGGTCATATGGGCCACGGGAGCAAAAGTCTCATCGTAATCACGACCATGCTCTTGCTGAAAGCCACGAGCCACAAGACGAGCTTTATAACGCTCAAGAGAACCATTAGAGCGAGTCTTTATCTTATAGACCCACTTACAAGTGATGGGACGAACACCGGGAGGAAGAGAAACCAGATCCCACGTGTCGGTGCGCTCAAGGGCAGCAATCTCCTCTGCCATCGCAAACTGCCATTCAGGATGCACAATAGCATCTCGATAAGAAGTCGGATCAAGAACGGTCGAAAGACCATAGCGAGAAGGAGAATATCGGTCAGGGGGCGGACAAGGCCGAGAATGAAGACCATAAGTCGGTTGAGAGGAGGAAGACGACACACCAGTAGTGGGCACATCAGTAGACTCATCCACAATACGTGGACGGCGAGTATAATGAAAAGGAAAGGAGGGAAGAGGTGGAACCACTGGAGATGGAGACGGGGAATGTATCGATGAAGGTGACAAAGGGGAAGGTATTGGTGATGAAGGTGTAGAAGGTGAAGATATCGATGATGAAGGTGGCGAGTCATGTGATGAGGAAGGAGAAGAAACCGTAGGAGAGGACGGCATCGAATCTGCAACAGCGGGACGAGGAGTAGGAATAATGGGCACAGATGGAGGTGTATCTGGAAACGTAAGAAAAGAGATATCCTCTGTGGAAAAGGCTGAGGAGGATGGGCGCGGGTAGAAGGGACGAGACTCATCAAAGGTCACATCCCGAGAAATACGCATCCGACGACCGATGGGATCCCAACACCGATAGCCCCTATGCTCATCATTGTATCCGAGAAAGACACACTCAACAGACTGAGCGGTCAGTTTGGTGCGTTCACGAGGAGCAAGCAATACATAGCAAACACACCCAAACAAGCGAACCACCGAATAATCAGGAGAACGACCAGAAAGACGTTCGAGAGGAATTCCTCCCTGTAGGGCAGCAGATGGCTCAATGTTAATGAGATACATGGAAGTGGTAACAGCCTCAGCCCAGAAGTGAGGCGGAAGAGAGGCAGCGATCATCATCGCGCGTGCCGTCTCAAGAAGGTGACGATGCTTGCGCTCAGCCACACCATTCTGAGCATGAGCACCAGGGCAAGAGAACTGAGGAAGAGTACCTTGCTCGGCAAGGAATCCTCTTAGCGCATGGAAGATATACTCACCAGCTGAATCTGCGCGAAAAACACGAATAGGAGTGGAAAACTGGGTTTGAAGCATGGCAGCAAATTTTTTGTATATAGATAAGACCTCACTATGAGAAGACATGAAATAGATCCAGGTGTACCGCGAAAAATCGTCTATAAATATAATATAGTAGTGGTGACCCCCTTTTGAAGCAAAGGGGGCCGGACCCCAAACATCAGAGTGAACGAGGTCAAAAGGGCGCTCGGACATCGACTCACTGTGAGGATACGGTAGTTGAATCTGCTTACCAAGCCTACAACCCAGACAATCCAGCGAAGCATTACCGGACACAGACCCCAGAACACCGCGCTGAACCAAAGATGAGAGACGAGAACCACATAAATGGCCAAGACGATGATGCCACTGCTGAAAGGGGCTAGTAGATGCAGCAACAGGGGCTACGGAACTGGCAGCGGTGGCAGCGGAAGGAAGACGTGGCCAGTCAAGCTCCCAGAGACCATCAGAGCGTCGAGGGCCAGCACCAAGTAGAGCGCCCGTGCGACGATCCTGGATGGAACACGAATCAAAGTCGAGGATGACCCTACAACTAGAGTCAACAATCTGACCACCAAATATGAGTTGCATGGTAAGTCGAGGAACATGAGCGACAGAGGGAACATTAAATGAAGAAGTGGTAAGAGTGCCTCGACTAGCCACAGGGAGGGGAGTGCCATCAGCTGTAAGAACACGAACAGGAGACTCAATAGGTTGAACGGAAGTCAAAGTGGAAGAATCATATGTCATATGAAAAGATGCTCCGGTATCAAGAATCTATGGGGATGTACCTGAATGAGTAGAAGATGGTTTCTCAATGCCAGAAGAGTCAGTCACGGAACCTGCAGAACTTGTCGGTGAAGAATCCCAAGTAGCAAGTAGAGATTTCAGCTGCGCAATCTCACACGAAGACAAGGATACGGCGAAAGAGGTCGAGGTAGAAACACCAGCCGATAATAAGCAGTCTCCACCACCCGTAGAAGCCGCATGTAGAGTCAGCCCAGAGTAGCGAGTCGACGTAGAGCCATATGTGGAAGCCACTTGGGGAGTCGACATAGTGCGATCACCGCTGCGCGCAGAAGCCGCAAGAGGAGTCGATGTAGAGCAGCCAACAACACCGGTGGAAGTCGCAAAAAGTGTCAAAGTAGAGCGACAACCACCATCTCCAAGCGGGTTTTTCTCTGTCTCTTTTACTCTATCTCTTTTTTTTCTCTCTCTTTTTCTTTTACTCACGTGCTAAGGAACCGTGCGGGTCAACTCCCGATGGGATCGAGCGACCGAGAAGCAGACACGCTCGGGGCGACCACCACCAGACAATAGCCACGGCAGAATATGCCGCGAACGGCCAGCGGCAGTGGCCGGAATCGGCCGGCGGGGCGGCGGCGGCCGGCGGAGCAGTCGCGGCCGGAGGACGAGGGAGCCGACGGATCGAGGGCGGGGCTGGACAGGCGGCTGGCGGCGACAGGCGGACGGGGCCGGCCTGGGAGCGCCCGCCCGCGGAGAGCAGCGGGACCTGCGAGAGCTGGCCTCCGGCGGCAGAGGCCCAACCAGGGAGAGCCAAAGGCCGGCGCGCGGCGGCCGGACCTCAAGCGGCAGTCAGAGACGAGGCGGCGGCGGCCCGAACCAAATCCCGGCGGAGGGCGGTAGTGGAAGCCGGCAACGGCCAAATGAAGTCAGTGGCGGACGTCCCGGTCTGGGATGCAGCGGGCTGCAGGAAGCACGGCCGGAACCGACGAGGAACGGCGGCTCGGGTGGAATCTGCGACCTCCTTTGTCCAGATCGAGACCGATCTCGCATGGACAGAACTTGGGAACGATGGACAGACAAAGTAGAGGAGTGGCAGCAGAGGAAACTGCACGCGTGAGAGGCAACAGCCAAGCGGAGGCAGGAGACGATTTGGAGCAGCGCAGCTGGGAAAGGATGATCACGGCGGCGCGATTGGATCGAGCACGAGTTGCAGCGTGCGAAAAAAGAACCAAAGCTCTAATACCATGTTAGGGAATTATGCAACTTGATATTATTAGGAAGCCAAAGCCATCATATATACATGTACAAAGAATGCCAAGAGACTAGAATACAAAAGGCCAAAGGCCATCCTCAATATAACTCTAACAATTTTTATGTTACTTTCTTCGCATGATTGAGAACCTGAAAAAATTTAGTGCATGCAGATATATGTGGCCTTGCTACTTTATCACTGTGTGAGCCAAAGTGAAGATACCATCTTTCCTTTATAAACCCTACCACTTTACTTTTTTTCCTTGGTTGTATTTGGAGGGCCAGTTATAGGAAATGGTGATAGATTTATTGGGCCGAGCCTTCATATTAATGATTCCGATGATTTAAATGGGATTATGTATACTGGACTACAGATCAACAAAGAGTATGTTCTCAAACGTACGGAGTTGCCTAATTAATCATGGATTGCCTGTTCAAAATCAAATAAACCACCTCACAGCTTAAACTTTTGGGCAAACTGCACCCATAATATCATACAAGATCAATTTGTAGGTCTGTATCAGGTTAGTCGAACTGGGTGGAACCAGGGTGGAGTGAAGCTATTTAATTTGCAGACGATATTCGACATGGAACCTCGCAATCAGTCGTGTTGGAAATAAACCTTGTGGCTTCAGAAACTTCAGTTCAGTAGGTTCAGGTTGAGGTGTCATTTTCTTCAGTTTCATCATTTGGTGGATTAGTTAATTAGTTAGCTGGTTTAGCTCACAGGCTTAACAATATGGAGTGAGTGTCAGGCTACGTTGATCTGATTGTGCCCCATTTCTACTTTTCTGTAATCTGAATAAATAGAAGAGAAGAAAGAGCAGAAATGCCACGGAAGTTTGAGCAGCACAAATCCTTGTCTTCCACCTTGTTTCACGAGTACGTACCTTTGCTTTGAAAGCAACAAGGAGCTTCTTACCCCCAATGCACTCCTCCCAAAGGTTTATGTAGTAAAAATTGGCAGTTGAGTAGCCTAAATTTGAGCAGCGGAACAATTACCCCTGCACTAGCAAATGATCAGCCACCATTCAACGGCATAATACAACTGCATCGTCTCATAGTTCCTGGTGTTGTCCCCTGCTTGAGACAAGTAGAAGACTTCCCTTCGATCAACGGTAGTAGAGATGGCCTTGTAATGCCAACAGAGAAATATGGACATGACTTGCAATTTCAATATCACAAGAGGAACACATCGTGGGACCTGCCAAACCATTCTTCGGCTTACCAGTACAGCTTTTACTGCAATTAAATGGTTTGCGGCTAAAGGAAAATGATGGAGATAGCACCTACCGATTCAACAGAAAGACATAAATAGAGCAGAAGATTTCAGTATGTATCAAGAATAATCAAGTGCAACTTGTTGGTCCAACAAGAGTAATGTCGGCTACAACAAAACTTGGAACCAAGAAATTAATTTATGTTGCTAAATGTATTACTAAGAGAACGACTGGATAATCTCCAAAAAAGTAGAAGACCATGATAAAAGCCAAATACATTATTCAGATAAGGAAAAACAGAGACATGTGGCAGATCAACTGGCAAATATTTCAACCACTGACGAAAATGACTTGGTAGCATCAACTTGCACGGTAGCCACTTTAGCACAAAAGTATATTTAAATAAATATGAATGTCATGCAAGATGCAGTCATAATTTTGCTCTCATAATTTTGTATATATCAATAGGTGTCCTTAGTGGATCCAATCCATGCATATTGAAGATCGAGGATATGCTGTTTAGAAGCACTGACGGTTCACAGAATAACCGTCTAGTGTCATAAAGAAGGTATGTGGAACGAGAGTTTGCTGGAGCTGATGTTGACCGAGATGGAGACCTTCGTGATTGAAACTGGCCACCAACCTGCTATTGGTATCAAAGTGAAGTAGCCACTCGCCAAATCTGACCAGCACGAGCACATCACCATCGCAAGAGTGGACTGCCACTTTCCAATTTTCAACAATCTTACCAAACCGCTCATTGAGATATGCAACCGGCAATTCAACCTGATATTTTAAGGCCCAAACCTCACTTTTGTAATCCTGCATCATCCAGATATCAATGATTTTCACTTCACCATTAAGGATTGACATGCCGAGCTGGTCATGCATCTCAAACAGATTAGCACGCTTAGGATCAAGAACAACCGGAGCATGCATCTCACGGAACGACTCGGCTGTGGTGTCGAATACCATTATATGGCTGCTTTTGCTCTCATGTTTCTGTAGGTGCCAATGCAGGCTACCGCGGAGCAGGACATCATCCCCCCAGACACTCACCTTCTCCCTCGGCCACCCCCCGATGTTCCTCGGTGGCTGGGCTGAGCCCAATGCAAAGATGAAGAAGGCGTTGACTGCGGGATCATCCTTTTCCTGAGTCAGCAGTATCCGGTACTCGCTTGTAGGACGGTGCCGGTACATTCCGAACGGGAGGAAGGCAGAAAGCATGGGCAGACGAGCATGCTCACGAGTGGTCGGGTTGCAGATGGAAAAGCAGGTGCCATACGTGCTGCCATTTTGTTCGAGCTGACTAATCGAGTTGTCAGTGAAAAGGAGGAGGCCGTCGCAGGAGGCATCTAGATGGATCGTGTCAGCAAGCTGCACCCGGGCAACGTCTTGGACCTGGGCGTCGGTGGCCCGATTGTTGAAGGTGATGATGTTTTGGTAGTAGCTGTCGCCGCAGTTCATGCTTTGTGAGGCGAGGGGGAGAGCGGGCTGGCGGCCGTGGTGGGCGAGGAGGAAGTTGCGGACGGAGGTGGCGCGGTGCCATGCACGGCAGACGGCACGGCAGAGGAGGAGGGCTTTGGGGGGCAGGCGGACGAGGATCTCCCATATCATGATCTCCTCCGGAAGGCCTTGGTGGACACGCGTCGATCTCGATCTTGCTGTTGCAGGATCCGCCATGGTCGCCGGCTGGATGAGCTCTCGATGTGTTGGTCCGTATTTCTCTCTGGCAGACGAACAAACAGCGAGGTGCGAGGAGATGTATTTGGGCTGCCAATCTCGAACATCGAACAACGCTTAAACGGGCTGGATAGGAGCTCTCGATCCATGTTGGTTTCGATCGATTGCCTCAGTTATGATTGCCTTGAAACCCCAGACCCAATCTCGCCGGCCGCCGCGGGATCAGTTGCATGCGCGATGTATGTGTCGATTCTTTCGTCTGATTTTTGTTCCGTACTTTTTTTTCATGGTAATACGTGTCTTATTCATATCATAAAGAATAAAGTACAAGTCACGTAAAAATTAACACGACAAAACTGAAAAGATAGTAGAACATCTATGAGCTTGACACCAACGTCTGTCACCTACCTCCGGCACCACCACTGCAGCTACCAAAGAAAAGAACGACGGATCACTTCCTTATTCGAGTTCGACGCGGCTCCATCGCTGATATACAGCTTTGCAGACCTCCAAGATGGCTCATCAAAAGTGAAGCAATTGCCGTTGAACCAATCAGACCGGGGCAACACCCCAGACACGCCATCGAACTCCAGATCTGGCATCCCACTATGACTAAGACACCGAAGGAGGAAACCATATCTGCCATCCACGAACCACGAACCCAGCACATGTTTCGTCTTCCAGATGTCGTCGATACAGACCACAATCTGCATCCGCTCCTAGACTACCTTTCAAGCTCCACGCCGACGCTGGAGCAAACGCCATTGCTACGACGAAGCCCGAGGACATAGGTCCACCATGAGGATGTCGCTGTCGCCACATCATCCTTACTTGAATAGACTAGTTTTCAAATCCATCCCCAACCATAGGACCTCGTTAGAGAAGTAAACGAATAATCTTTATTCAGCGCCATCATCGTTGCCGCCGAAGGCAAGACGATGAGCAACCTAAAAACTTAGACTACAAGAGAGTAAAAATGATCCACACACGTGCATCCAGCAACCTCTCTCACCACCGACAACCGAGGTCGCCATCGAAGGAGAGCCGCCAGAGGACGGTGCTGAAAGATGGCCTCTCCTAACGGCAGTTAGGGTTCCAGCCGCTAGGAAGGAGAGAAAAACGATCTGGTCTATCGGTCCGCTTCGGTTTTGTTGGCTCGTATACGTTTGAACGCTGGCCGCGTGGATTTCTGTTCTGTACTGCATGGTTTCGTTTTCATATAGATGCACAGAACCAGTCCATATTATACTGATTTCTTTTTTCTTTTGCGGGAAATATTATACTGATTTCATATACATTCTTTTCCCAACAAAATACATATTGTTTCACTTTTTTTTTGCGAAATCACATTTTCGAATTACTGAACCTAAAAACTCATACATTTTTTTGTTCCCAGTTGATGTTTTGGCATTACAATCAAACCCTGCACAAGGCCGGCTTTATGTATTTCCTCTCCAAAGTATTTACGTTTATTTTCTACTACTACAAGACTGCAGGCACGACATCCAAGAGACCAAGACGAAGGACGCACTCAATGATAGAATCGCCAGACTCGGGCCGTCCTTTTTTTTTTTAACCTAGACTCGGGCCATCCTTGAAATCAGAGGGAGGTTGCGTAAAAGGCTTCCGTGAAGCCATAGAGAATGGATAAAAGTCAGTAAATGATTCTAGGTTTTCTTTGCTTCTTCCTTTTGTGACGCAGCGGCAGCCCGTTGCTCGATCAGTGGAGGGGTGCACTGAATTCGAGGACAGGGCGGTGGCGGCCGACGTAGGTCGACGAGCAGTCCAACGCACGGACGACAGCCGTGAGGGGCCGCCTGTCGCGCGAGGCCGCCTGGTCGGTGTAGAGGCCGGCCGGTTGCGCCGGTGTCGGAGTAGAGACGCACGATGGTCGACGGCGGCGGTGGCCGACGCAAACCGATCAAGCATAGATCAGAAAACCAAAAAAACACCGATCAAAACGACCAATGAGAGAGTGAAAAAATTCGAAGCAAGGGCTCGGGAAAAAGACTCTCTAGGACAGCCGGTTAACACGACCGGCGGACGAACCCTAGGCCGCCGGGTCGGGACGACGGGCGGGCAGACGCACGGACGAGATGGTCGTTAGGCGCCGCCTGTCGCGCGAAGCCGCCTAGTCGGTGTAGAGGCCGGCCGGTTGCGCAGGTGTCGGAGTAGAGGCGCACGGTGGTCGAAGGCGGCGGCGAGTGACGCAAACCGATCAAGTATAGATCGGAAAACCAAAAAGAAAAACGCCGATCAAAACGGTCGGTGAGAGAGCGAAAAAACCCGGATCAAGGGCTCGGGAAAAAGACTCTCTAGGACCGCCAGTCAACATGACCGGCGGACGAACCCTAAATACGGGCGGCAGGGCCCCCGACGGCGGTCATGGAGGCCGACCATCCCGGGGGCTGCGCGCGGGTGCGGAAGCGGCGGCGGCTAGGGTTTAGAACCCGGAAACTGATACCATGTTACAAGGGATGAAGAGAATTGATGGAATAGTTGTTGTATTACTTGAGCCTCGTGGGCATATATATATATATAGGAGTACAATCATTTACTTGGAGTACAAAACAAGTCAGAACAATTCCTAATCTATCTCGTCTTTTTTAATAAACATTATACTCAACACTCATGATCTGAATGATGATTATTTGCAGGAGATAAGATGATATTTGCATGCTTGGGCATACCTCTACCGCCAAGAAGAGCTACACTACGACTAACAAGATTTGTGACTTCAGCACGTTTGGCTACTGCATATACAATGCTAATAGAAATAGAGATGATGATTTGAGCGTAGTGTGTGCTAATCATTATGTTTTCCATTTTGCTTTGTTTTTCAAGCTAAATTGGAGCTCTTTTACGGTAGCCTTGTACTCCACCGGGAGGGTTGGGAGTACCAACTAAATCTGGCCATCTAATGTAAGGGGTATCTTAGTCATTTCCCCTCGTTACTAAAAAAGATTTCATGCTTAATCTCGTCTGATCTAATCTAATCTAATTACCAAAATTAACATGAACCCTTATCGACGTCGTCGTTGTCTCTTCATTGTCCGCCCGGAGTCGCCACCATCTGCTCCTGGCCAGAATCAATGGATCTGGCGTGCTCGCCGCATGCCCGAATTGGCAAAAGAAAATGGCCTAGTTGATCTTCGTGAAACACACAGGACCGGCTGCGGGACCATGACTAGAGGATACATATCTTCGTCATTAGGAACGAACAAACTCTAGATAGATTATGATGCGGCTACGAGACTGTTCGTCATGTATTGTTTTTGCTGCATCTGTTTGTTGTAAACTGAAATAGCAGTGGATAGATTGATAGCTTGGTACTTGTGTTTGCATATCATGGATTACGAGAAAAGAATACACCGATCGTTTGGGTGTCTCTCGATCTATATACCCAGTCCAGCCATGTCGTCGCTGCCATAAGATCGGAAAATATGGCTTTGACAGTGCGAGGACCACACCACCACAGTCGCCGTCCGTCTGCGCGGCGGCGCCGCCAAGCAAGACTCGTGTTAATTAGCACATCCGGAGTTACAGCTTTACCAATCAAGCCATGATACGCCATGATTTTTTATGTTAGTACTCCGAATTAGATTATTGGAGTACCAATCCATCTTATTCGTCAGATTAGAAAGAATAGACGGTCCTGTTTAATTTAAGGGTACTGTAAAGAGCTCACCCGGCATTCTAAACCGATGTATTGCATTTATCACTAACAGGTCAAAGTGCTCCTTCCTGATAATAATATTGCCGACGGGTTGTTGGGTCTATATGATGAACACATTATATGATGAACAAATTGCGATTGTCACGACCTTGGAACTCCTAACTCTCCATGCCGTAGATCTGAATCCTCGGGACCCGGCTCCCTCTCATGGCGACCGTATACTAGCTGTCAGGCGTGCCTTCTCGTCAGGTGGTTTGATGGCCACACGTGGGTCTCTCACTGAAAAACCTCCCACGTGTGTTTCTGATGATCCAGATATCACCGAGGTATGATATTGATTTGTATGTTACTTTCTTGCCATGATGGAGAACTTGAAACAAATACTTGCAAGGTGACATATATGGTCTAATTTATCACTGTGTGCACCAAAGTGAAGATACCATATGTCCATTATAAGCCCTACCACTTTATTTTTTTTGTCTAGGTTGTATTTGGAGGGCCAATTATAGGAAATGGTGATAGATTTATTGGGATGAGCCTTCATGTTGACGAGAGAAATGTTGTCTTCCTTCGACGAGAGATACTTCGTAAATGCTTGAAGAAGTTTGGGATACTCAAGTATGTCTTTTACGCTTCCGGTATCTATGATTCTCCCTAGCAGGCCTATTTCTCTTTGATCCAAACTCATATTGGTGGCATTTTTAGATACCAACAACATTTAACCAAAGGTGTTTCCACATAGTAATATGTGGATTGAAAACTATCTTGTTCTTGGTACCTATATCTTGTGGATACCAGCTTCAGACCACATATTTGTTGTTAATTTAGTGCTCTTTCTTAATATTGAAGCAATATTTCTCTAGATGAGGAGTTAAAATTTTCATTTGGACAGTATGGACGTTGCAACTGCATCATTCCAAATGTCTGGATACTCAAATTTTCATTTAAAAAATCAAAATCTGTTCAATCCTCCCATTCTTTTGTCGAATGCTTATGAGCCTGATCCCTGTGTGTTTGTTTATACCTTGTTTTCTTTTATAAGATTTAATTGTTGTGTTTGTATGACTGTTGCTCCATTGCAGTCTTAAAAAACTCGACTTCCATGGATATTCATTGCCTTCAGGTGTATCAAGTGCAGTCCCTTCAGGTGTGAATAACCATGCAACTGCATCATTCCAAATGTTACCTAGTGATTATTATGTGAGAGATATTATGTGAATGTTATCACAAATATCATTTGAATACTAAAAGTAATCAC